ATCGGGATCCGAATCCCGCTCGCCGCCCGATCCCGCTGCCCCCGTGCTCCGCGGCCCGGTCCGGAGACCCCGAAAAATCCGCCCTTTTCCGCTCCTCCTCTTCTTGATTCGGAGATCTCCTCTCCGTCCCCTCTCCCTCCCTCCCCCGGCCGAGTGAGCGCGCATGATGGCGGCCTAGCTGGCTGGCGGCGATGAGGAGGGCCGGCGGCAAGGACGGCGGGGAGGACAAGGTCATGGGCCCGCTCTTCCCCAGGCTCCACGTCAACGACACCACGCTCAAGGGCGGCGGCCCGCGCGCGCCGCCCCGCAACAAGATGGCCCTCTACGAGCAGTTCAGCGTCCCCTCCCAGCGCTTCGCCGCCAACGCCGCCAACACCGCCCCAGCCGCCGCCCACCGCCCCGCCGCCAGCTACGCCGCCGTCTCCTCCGCCTCCGCCGGACAGGTTTCCCTCTCACCCATCTTCTCCTTTTTCTTTCTTTTTTGCCTGTATGTATGTATGTATGTATTTTTATCCTGTCCGCTGATTGGATTGGATTGGATTGGATTGGATTGGATTGGATTGGAAACCTAGATTCCACCTGCCATGGCCGCCGGCGATTACTGCTGTGCTCAGTGTTAGACTAGGATGCCTCTATTGGCTTGGCTTGTTGACTCGCCTTGCCGCTCTATTGATGCTCTTTTCATGTATGCAAACTTAGCGACACACGCATGGTGATGAAACGCCCGTTTTGTATGATTACGAGTGCCATGAGATGCTTATGTACTACGTATGCTTGGCTCTCGACGACTGCTTGTCGGGTATCTGACTGAGGTGACCGGAAATGGTCACTGCTTCTTTATCTGTTAGATATCTTCCGTTGATTATCGCTTTCCGGAGTTTGGCGGTTTTCTATTCTGAACGCTAGTGCAGTGACGATTATGGGGCGCATCCGGGCACAGCGTTGATGATTCCCGCGAGTGGCATCAGGGATGTGGAATTGGAAGATTGTCTGTCACTTCTGTTTGCAGTTGCACACAACAAAGATGATGAGATGGAGCCTACGTATTATTGTTTGACACACAAACTTATCTGAGTTTGTTCTAAATTATTTAAGAATGTCCACGAATAATTCAAGTTGCTTGTTGCACGGATGAGTTTTTTAGTGAGACACGACTGGGCAATGTCTTTATTACTAACTTGTACCTTTTTTCTTGTAGATTGGTGGGATCGACAGACCTCTCTTTCCATCATTTTGCGTGCCTTCAAATGAACCTGTGCGTTTGCCCGAACACATCAAGACCAACTCGAGTGGGCGGGATGGCCAGGCTATATCTGGGAGGCTTTCCACCCAGCTTAAGAGCAAGGACGCCTATGCTGCAGGATCGACTGCTGAGTGTAGTAGTTCACAGCGTAGAGACAACAACAACAATAGCATGAAGAATTCTTCTGGGAAGAAGTTGACTAACGATGATGATTTTACGGTTCCTTCTGTCTTCTGCTCTGGAGCGCGCCCTCGTTCCAACCATGAGGAAGTGAGGATCCAAGAGAATGCCACACCCTTCCCAGCTACAAGTCCGTATAAGAGTGGGCCTACGGTGTCCAAACCAACTGCAAAATTTCCCAACACCGACAAGAGGTACCTGGAAGGAAGGAACGCGTCGGACACGAGATCAAGGGACTCTCCAAGTATTATCAGGGACAAAGCACCAGCAAACACAACGACAAACTTTTTGGAAACTGAAGAGAGGACTTCATCGTTCCAATTTTCTGCAGAGAAGACAATGGGTAAAAGAGATGACAAAGGTTCTTCGTATAGTAGGGTAAAAGAGACGAGCAGTATAAATGTTTCTGATAAGCAACATTCCCGAAACGAGGGGCATCAGGCTAGAACAAGGAATGAGAATGCTGCTGAGTCTCAGAATGCTGCAAAGGCTGGAAATGGGCCATACTCTACTGACGTCGCATGCAACGGCGCTTCTAATCTGTCGGAGAAAGGCCTAAGAGAGACTGGTGAAAAGAGAAAAAGATCAACCGGACATCACGATGTGCAGAGGGATGATTCCTCGGATTCCTCCGTGGAATCTCTGCCAGATCTGGAGATCTCTCCAGATGATGTTGTCGGTGCTATTGGTCCAAAGCATTTCTGGAAAGCAAGAAGAGCTATTGTCAAGTAAGTATTCACCACTTAGGTCTTGTCCTTTCTGTCTTCGTGTTTTTGAAAGGTCTGTGTGCACATAAGCTTGGTGCCCAGCAAATGAGCCAGGCAGTCGAGCGGATTAGATCTTCCCATTTCTACATGCTGTATCATCTCAAATCACCCTACTGTGCACGTGCAAACACAAACGCACATGCACATTTGTCATGTGCATTCTATGAACATCTCTTTTCCTTTTTGACAGACTGATGCTTAAATGTAGTACTCCCATCCGTTCCAAAATATAAGGTGTATTAGTTTTTTCAAAAGTCTAACATGTGCATGTTTGACCAAGTTTTTAGAAAAAAGTATCAATATATACAATAACAAATTTGTATCATTAGATCCATGACGAAAAGTATTTTTGTATTGTACATGTTGGTATTTTATTCTATAATCTTGGTCAAACGTACATAAGTTAGACTTGCACGAAAACTGATGCACCTTATATTCTGGAAGGAGGGAGTATCTCTCTTAATCACTATAACTTCCTTTCTTGTTTAGTAATCACTTTTCTTTGAACTCGATGCAGTCAGCAGCGGGTTTTTGCTGTCCAAGTGTTCGAGCTGCATCGACTGATTAAAGTGAGTCTGCGCCACCAAATATATAGTAACCACAAGCGGGTGGTTAGCTTATTGATATATTTTGTGTTGGGATGCTGATATAGCCATGTTATGTATGGGCTTGCAAGCAGGTGCAGAAGTTGATTGCAGCATCTCCACACCTACTTATTGAAGGGGATCCGTGCCTTGGCAGTGCCCTTGTGACAAGCAAGAAGAAGACGGCTGCAGCCAATGTGGAAAAGCAGCTTCTGTCAGCTAAAAGCAAAGATGACGATGATGCACAGCTTACCCTGCAGCAGGCGGAGTACTCGAAAGATAACACTGAAGGAAACCAGGCTTCACCATCTCAAGACAATGACGTAGTCGAGGTCCGGCATGAGAACCAAGCTGCATCAAACGGTGCGGTTAGCAGTAACCCTCCTGCTATGCCTGCTCCTCCCGACAACAAGCAGAACAACTGGTGTGCTCCTCCGCCTCAGAATCAGTGGCTCGTTCCCGTCATGTCTCCGTCGGAAGGGTTCGTCTACAAACCATACACAGGGCCGTGCCCCCCGGCAGGAAGCATCTTGGCCCCGTTTTACGCAAGCTGTGCTCCTCTGAGCCTGCCATCTACAGCTGGGGAATTCATGAATTCTCCATACGGCATCCCTATGCCTCACCAGCCGCAACACATGGGCGTCGGAGGCCCACCAGCCATGCCTCCGATGTACTTCCCGCCTTTCAGCGTGCCGGTGATGAACCCGGTGGTCTCATCCTCCGCAGTGGAGCAGGTGAGCCGCGTGGCCACAGCGCGACCCAACACTCACGTCGAGCACCACTCGAGGAGCTCGTGCAACATGAGGAACGAGGCCGTGTCGGCCGGCGGCGTCTGGAGGTTCCACTCGTCCCGCGGCAGCGAGCTGCAAGGGAGCAGCGCCGCCAGCAGCCCTTTCGACAGGCAGCAGGGCCAGGGCGAGGCGAGGGGCCCTGCCGCGGCCGCACCTGCGGCACCACTCCCTACGTCGTCAGCCGGGAACGGGAACGCGGCCCAGCAGCCCCAGGTCTCCTCTAGCAGCCAGGAGAACCCGGTGGCGGCAGCGGCCCGTGTGATCCGGGTGGTCCCGCACACGGCGCGCACCGCGTCGGAGTCGGCGGCGCGCATCTTCCGGTCGATCCAGATGGAGAGGCAGCAGAACGGCCCGTGACCGAGCGACCGCATGCGGTGCTTGGCCGGCACAAAGAAAAGGAAGGAAGAAAGCTTAGCCAATTAGCGCTTGGGAGTATGTTGTTATTTTTGAGCAGGCAATAGCATTCCTATATATTTGTCCCTCGGCGTCGGTAAAAGCGAATTTTTGGCGACTGTAAATATGCAAAGCAAAGCAGGACTTGTATCTATCTATCTATTTATCTATCTATGCCACAATGAAAACTGTAACTGTTAGTTTTAGGTGTATGTCTCAGGCAAAAAGAAGTGAAACCTGGGAGTGATGTCTCTGCTGTATTGTCTATGTATGTGCAGCTATATTGCCTGCTGATATCTTATAAAAGAAATTTGGTATGTTTCTTTTTTTTGCCCATTGTGTACTGTATTATTTATTTTTGTATATATATTGGGCCAACCTGCCAGATGATTGTTGCCAATCCCAGGAAGTGAGCCACTACCTTACTGTTACAGTTTTAGATTTGTGTTTGAACTTGGATTTCCAAATGCTGAAAGTAGCATATTGTATTTGAGAATTTTTTACAACTTCCAGACACAGTTACCACATTTTGATTTGTATGACAGGTCAGATGTAGACTAAACTAATTGTTCTGTCATTAATTATTTTCTAGTGAAAGGGAACGCGATTCTTATTCCAACCTAACAATAATAATACTAGTTTGTAGCTTCTCAAGTCATTTATATACCTGAAAAACACATTAGTTATTCTTCTTCCCATAAAAACAACATAGATTTTATAACACATCAGATTCAAAATTCACCCATGGAATAAAAACACTCTCAGAAAGGAAGATCTGCTCCCATCAAAAAAAGAAGGGAAAAAAAGGAACATCTGCTTTCTCACTATATTGGATTGATTCAACAAGAATAAAACAATCGCCGCCGCGACACAAGGCGATGTGCGTAAAGCTTGCGATATAAAAAAGAATCAACTGGCGCTCTATTCTGGACCCAAAACCAAAACACAAAGATTGTTTTGCTACTACACACTTCATCTGTTATATCTACACACACACTACTAGGCTAGCACCACAGCAATGACCAAAAAGGCTGGCTCTCTGTTATTGCACCGCCTCCTGCGAATCATTCCTGTTCCTGCGACCGAAACCGCACCTACACACAAACTCCGGGACCGGGCCCTCGGCCCCGGCGACCCAGGGATGCGCGGCCGCGGCCTGCAGGGTCATACGATCTCCCGGATCTGCGAGGAAAGCACAAGCAACACCACTGTTAACACAGCAAGCACACCTTCCGATGCATAAAGACCCAGATTGGATGATTGCGAAAAAAAAAACCCAGCAAGGAACACCTTTGTAGAGTAGCCTCTGCATCAAGTCGGCGAGCTGGGGGCTCGTGTCGCCGGGTATTTCCACCGGATCATTGGCGATCTGTCCCACAGCAGCGGAGCGACCTTGGTGAGTCTCTGCGGTAGGTAAACTGAAAAGGGAGTAACGTATATTTCGCACCTTGTCGTAAGTTTCCTGCAGAGTTTCTCCAAGGAATGGATATTTCCCCGTGATCATGCAATACAGGGTAACACCGACTGCCCAGGTATCAGCTGTTCTGCCATGGTAGGCTGAACCTGCAGCGCAAGGGAGGCGGAAAATTGTTCATCACATTAAGCAAGCTCATGCCATGGCCAGAGAATATTTTAGCAACTTGTTATATTTATTGGCATCACACCCACAACCCAACCCCTTTTGTTGCTTACAGTTGTTTGGGGCTATGGGTTTGTTTATCTCAATCTGCTGCAGTTGTGCAATCATTTAGCTGTGGAAACACCTACAGCACCATGCTACAAATATTCCAAAAACCACTGGTGTTGTACTTCAGATGGATGCTTTGGTAACTGGCTGAATGTGTGTGCCGCCTTCTATAACTCAAATCAAAGTCATGTAACTGTACCTTGACAGCACTCTGGTGCAGTGAAAACTGGAGTACCTGGAGACCTCCAAAGCATATCATCGTCATCCTGCAGCATAATCAAGTACCGCAATGTGTAAAGCACCAAGCTAGGAGGCTCAACAACCCTACTAAAAATGGTTTACAACACTGAATCATCAGACTACATTGTCCCTCGACTAATGTTCAAAATTCCCAGAGTAAGTGACGATATCGTTCGCGTATGCAATTTACAATCTCAGATTTTCTAGAAGAACAAATTGTGAAGCCCAAGATTATACTTTGCTAGACTCAAAAACTTTACCCTGCCAGTGAGAATAAACTTACTGGAATAAATAAAAAATACAACTACAATATTAAAAGAGGACCTCAAATATCTGGCTAACACTGAAGTCCCCTATCTTCACATTGCCAGTACTTGTGACCAAGAGGTTGTCCGGTTTAATATCACCATGAATAATGTTCTGCATATAAACACAAGAAAATTAAGTTTTGTATCAAGCACACAGTGCAAAATGCATAACATATAGCGCAAATGAACAGCCAGAACCACATGTATATCCATGAGAGCGTGCAAATGTGTGAAAGTAGGGGAACATGAAACATCAACAAACACCTGCTTAAGAAGTGTAAAATTTGTGACATTGAATGTTAAGTTTTGGTAGAAACATATTCCGACGATCCATTATGTACCAAAGTGTGTGCATAAACACATGTACTTAATTAGAATTCAACGGTGGAATATGCCAACTACGAATAAGTGAGCTTCATATGGCAACAAACACATCATGCTTTGATGCATATCGCCGCCCTAGCTATTTATTAGATGCCACATTTATACGTAAATACAATCAGAAAAGTATATTTAAAACCATAAACAAGACCACAAGCATTATACTCTAGAAGAAAGCATGTTTCACATCTCCCCTGTTTTTTTATCATTGGCTTTAAATAGGGTTCTGGTTTTCTATGCAAGAAACTCAACAACCAAGCACTGTATTAACAAATATGAAGCTGAAAACTACCTAAACATTGCTATGAAGGCAGCAAGCATACTATTCATACGCAAGTCGGTACATTTGACTGATATATGAAGCTTCCTAAAGCATGATGTGAGCATTGATTATAAAGCCCAAGCTAATGTTTGCCTGTGCAATCAGGTAGCTCGGAGACAGAACAACTCAGTCAGTAGCTAAGCAAACATGGACTAACAGCTTAACACTATGAACAGAAAATCTGTCTACTAAGATAATTTACGCCAACCATTTGAGCTTGCTGGTCAGCTTCACGCCAACATAACTAGGTTCAGTGGAAGGGAAAAAATATGTGAAAGCTAAAACATGATGCTTCAAATAATCATTGTCTACAAAACTTAGAGCTCTTCAAATATCTTTGTTGAAATTTCTATTTGACATGATCAAAGTGCTAATGAAATAGACACTATTATAATATTATTAGCACAGAATTAACCATGATGAATCATTCCTTGGTGAAAAGTTAAAAAAAAATCTTACATGAGAGTGAAGATACATAACACCAGAGACAATGTCCCGCAAGTACTTCCTGGAAGTAGCTTCTCCTAAACCTATACCGTTATTGCACACCATTTTCCCCTCAACAAACTCAAGAACTGCCAATGGGAAGGGAAAAGAGTAAATTGCAATCGTGTAAAATAATGACAAAGATGACAACAAGCCTGCTAGAATAGCGCCATGTTAGAATAATAAAGCAAAACAATGAGAGCATCAATAAATACCCATGTAGAATTTATCTGTGTTTGGGTCGTCAATCACCTCAATGAGATTTAGTATATTGGGATGATCCAACATTTTCATGAGGGATACCTGTATCCGATGCAATAAAGGGAAGCTAATAAGAGAACTTGGAAAACAAATACGGTAGTTGATTCTCAAGTAAAATCAGGATGTGGTACACTGTATATATGCAACATTTGACAAATGCTACTAATAATATGCTTCCGCCTTCTGACAGAAAAATAACTGAATTTTTTAGTACAGTTATATAGTGGTATGGCAAAATCCTTTGGAGCATCCCAAGGAAAATTTAGCACAATTCAGCTTCTTGATAACAAACATCAGAGCCAGTGAAACTGAAGCGAAGAAAAATGGTCACAGGTAATCTTGAAATAAACAAAAAAGACGCATACTAAATGGTACACACTCCCAAATAAATTTCTTCTGTTAGCTGTAAATAATGTGTGCCTATAGAGAAAGTACTAACAGAATGAGATTTGCAAGGTATGATCAACTTGGTTAACCAATGTTAGATAGATCATGCAGTATTTATATCTTCAAAGCTCACGCAAGTACATTCCCAGAGAACTTTGCACACGCCATAACAACACAGCAACGTGATAGGTATTATACAGGGAAATACAACTTTAACAAAGTTACTCACTTCCCGAAGAACATCTGTCATGGCCGTTTCTGACCGCACAACACGCACTTTCAACATGTAGGGTTTACTGAACACCTGAAATAGATAGAGTTCCGTCAAGTAGACATAGATAGCACTGTGCAGCGGGCGCAGAAAGAAATGTCGAATAAAATCACCTTTATCGCATATAACCTCCCATCCTTGATGTTTTGGTATTTAACCTAGTTTGTTTAGAATTAGAATGAAATCAAAGGAGAAGTAATCAGCGAGGGAAGTGGTAGTAGTAGATAAATAGGTAGCACAGTTAGATAAAAAGCAGAGGTCTGCTGTTGTTGTTACCACTTTGCCGTAGCTCCCAGCACCAATCTTGCCCAGGTGAACATACTGGTTGATCATCTTACAGCCGGTTGTTTCGTCCTAAGGCAATGCCAAAAGGAGGAGAGAACAAAGTGATTATGCCGCTCGATTCAAAGGGTAGAAAGAACAAGAAAAATGCTCTCATGCAAGCCATGAACCATTCTGATGGCCACATTGTACTCTTGGCTAGAAATAATCCATTGTACTAAAATTATGCTCAGCGGAGCATGGCTCGTGTTTGCTTGTTTCACAACGACTCAGCGCGCGCTAAATTCACCAACGGAGCGGGAGGATTTATTTGTAGGGACAAACCATTGGAGAAATGAAATGAATTTAGTACTGTAGTAAAAAAAAAACAGAGTTGTTGGTGGTAATGAGCTGAAGGGAGGGAGGTACCTCTGAGCGGAAGAGCTTCCTGGTGTCCCTGACGAGGCTGTCCCTGCAGGCGAAGCCGTTCCGGGCCCGGGAGAGTATGATGTCCTCGGACCGCTTGCGGGGCGGCTTGTCGTCGCCGTCACCGTCGCTCTGGCGGAGGAGGTAGTCCTCCTCTTCCCTCTCGTAGAAGCTCCTGCTGTCGTCGCCGAGGAAGCTGCTGCTGTTGTCGGGGTCGTCCCCGGCGTAGAAGCTGCCGCCGTCGTTGGACCTCGGCAAAAGCAGGTCCTTGGACGGCGCGCCGTCGCTGTCGCCGGCGGCGGGGCGGTGGGGTTGCTTCCAGAGGAAGCCGAAGCAGCTGCAGCAGCAGCAGCAGCCGGCCATGTCCGCCGCCATCCCGATGGAGACGGCCGGCGGCGCGGATCTGTCGCGAAAGAAACCCTAGCCTGGCCTGGGCGCAGGGGACGGGAGGCCAAGGAAACAAGGAAAACGGATACCAAAACACGAGGGATTTCGTTTTTCGTTTGCCAAATTTTGGCCAAAATCAAACCAAACCCAACCAATTTCGTTTTTTTATTTGTTTTTGTCACACAACAACAACAACAACAACAACAACAACAACAACAACAACAACAACAACAACAACAACAACAACAACAACAACAACAAGGCCATGAATGAATGAATGAACGAATGCAAAATTGGAATGAAGAACATAGTAATTGAACTTTTGAACCGAATATGTTGTCGTGCCTAATTAGTTGTTGAGTGAACTCTGAGCTAAAAACGATGTTCCAACATATGATTTATATACATTGTAATTTGCATCAACTCTAGCGGTTGCCCAAAAAACAAAACGAAAATGTTAACGCCCACACGTGTGGGCGTTAAATCAACTCACCCACACGTCTCCATCATCGTCCAGTAACTTCTGCACGAATCTTGGCACAAATTAGCTGATTTTGTATGCCATGTAGAACAATTCGCGTGTGTGGTGTGTGAGAGGTCGCCCACACATCAGTTTTACCACACGGAGGGGCCGGTGTGTGGGCGTTTAGCAGTTCGCCCACACATCAGTTTCAGTCACGCACAAGGGCTAGTGTGTGGGTAGTTTGCCATCTCGCCCACACGCCCGCCTCCTCTCCCACACCCAAGCTGCCAGTTGCCATGCGTTTTGCAGTGTACATGGCAACTGCCCTAGTGTGATTGCAAGCCGATGGCAACTCTTTTTTTTTACCCGAACATGTCAGTTGCCATATGTTTGGCATGGTACATGGCAAACTGCACTAGCGTGCACGTAAGCAGATGGCAACTCTTTCTTTTTTAAATGGCAACTGCCCTAGTGTGCTTGTGAGCACATGGCAACTCTCTCTTTTTACCCGAACATGTTTTTTGCCATGCCTTTTTTTGTAGCGCTACATGACAACTGCCTAGTGTTAGTAGGTGGCAACTCCTAAAGTTTTGAAATCGTGGCAACTGCAGTATACCAGACCACACATGGCAACAGCTGTAGTTGTCCAAAAAATGGGAATCTGAAACTTTGACCTGAGATGGCAACTGCAGTTGAGCAAACATGGCAACTGTAGTTGTCCGACATGGCAACCGTAGTTCAGCGACATGGCAACTGCACTTGAACGAACATGGACGAGGGTCCGGCCCATGGCAACTGCGGGGCGCGCGGTAAAGTGTCACGTGGGGCGTGTGGGCCTGACGTACCGGGCGTGTGAGCGTTATCTATTTCGCCCACACGCACGTGTGTAAGAGGGACCGGGAGAGAAAAAAAGGCGTGTGAGCGCTAGTTGTTTTGCCCATACACAGACGTGTGGGCTGGTCCTCTTAGACACCACACAGAACGTGTGGGCAGATTTCTTAACGCCCACACGTGTGGCAGTTAGCGGCGTCCAAAACAAAAACCCAACTATCACGTTGAAACCTTCCCGTCGCGCGATTCCATCTGATTCTCGCCGCCGTCACCACTCATGCAATCCCCACCATCACTGTGGAAGCTTGAAACATCGCCGCCGATTCCGGTTGCTCCGCCGCCCCCACTACAACCCGAGATGGTCGCCGCCGCACCACCATCGGTCGTCGAGGTCGATTAGCGGCTAGACGACCTCCAATCAAGCCGCCCTGACCACCATTGAGCTGCAAGCCCCGTTCGGAGATCTCGACGCTCGGGCGGCGCGGAGCCACCTGAGTTGGCCACACCAATGGCCCCCCTCCGTCCCACATGAAAAGACCAAATTTTTGCATACTCTATACCTCAAATTTTGAAGTGTATATTCTCAGTGATGCCATAGATATTATATACTCTTAAAAAGTAGAACACATACTCCATAGTCAATTAGAGTGTGAAAATAATGAAGTATGTACTACGGGTGTATGCACCCTCCTTAACTAGGGTATAGAGTATGTCCTACAGGAGTACGCGCCCTCTCTCCATAGTCAATTGATGTCTGCAATGCAAAACTTTTTTTGCGGGTAATATGTCGACATAATATGGTAATATGTACAAAATATATATTCATGATTGGAGTATAAAGTATATGATATATGTAAGCTACTTGAGTACTGGTTTTTTTGAAGTACTTCCTCCAATCCATGTTAATTATCACTAATTTAGTGTAGTAAAATTATGTACTTTGTACTAAATCAACGACAATTAATATGGACCGGAGGAAGTGTATAATTTCAGTCCATGATGATGATCAGCTGGATCAATACCGATGGCATTCAAGATGATGATCAACTGGCTCAAATGGTCTCTGTTATGTGGTCCATATGGCATTTAGGAAATCAAATCGCCCATGATGATGATCAACTGGACCCGTTTTTGTCAGTTCAGCGCATCAGGGAGGACCTAGCCGTGCTGGATATTCCACTTTCTCATGCATCGGTGCTACCGGGTCATGGATGGATACCTCCAGAACTAGGGGTGGTTAAGATCAATACTGATGTGGCTGTGAGTATGGACTCCGACAAGGTGGGCGCGGGTGGGGTTGCACGATCCTCCACGACCTTGTTGGATGCATGGAGTAAACCCCATGTTGGGGTTACCGATCTTTTCATTGGGCAGACTTTGGCGCTGCGTGATGGGGTGATTTTTTGCTAATCTGCACGGTTTCTCTCATGTGTTTATGAAAATAGACTGCCTGGAGATTGTTAATCTCTGGAAACATCGTCACAGTAGCCTATGTGTTGTGGCACCGGTACTTCTAGAAATTGGAGAGCTAGCTTCTTCTTTTGCTTCTTTTGATTTTGATGTTCAACATGTAAACAGGTCAGTCAATATAATGGCCCACCTTTGTGCAAAACATGCATGCACACGGATGATTACCGAAAGTTGGACTGATTCTAGACCCTCTTTCCTACGCATTCCTGCTCACCAATCTTTTGGCTGATGATCCCAAAAGCTCTTTTGTTGAATAAAGTTCTCAATTTGGAATGCAAACAAAAAATGCTTGTGCATGACGGCCATGCGTACATGCATGTCTAATATAAACATATCATCTCGACCAGCCTGCAAATTGAAAAATAAACATGCATGCGTACGTGTTGTGAAAAATATCTCACGCATGCATATGGACCTGCTTTTTCGATTGAATCGTCCATGAATATGAATGCATCAGTCTCTTCTGAAGTATGTCATCCAAGCCCTACCTACATGCATCAGCGTTACTAGATCGATTCGATTCGGGTATGCATGCATGTACATAAGCCATCTTTTTTTTGAATGAAAGGGGTTTCCCCCGCCCCATTTTATTAATGAAGCGAAAACGTCTCAGCCAAAAACAGATAGAAAGTTACAATCCCAGGGACGCATAGCACCCAACATCAAACTATCTAGTATCAGCAGCCTCACTTTATTACATACCAAGCGACACAGGCATAAGCATAAAATTAGTTAGGCCCACACTCCAGCCTCTTGGTCTTTTCGATCACACCCACGCAATCCGTAGCAGTTCTCCACGACGCCTGTTCAACAGACGAATGGACCGCAACAGCAGCTCCGCCTGAGTGTCGACGCAGAGAAATTTCCACTGGTTCAGATCTTAGTTTTGCAAGGACATAATTGGCATCTCTCCAGATACGCCTCTGAAAACAGAAAATGTTTCTTAGTTTCCAAATACTCCACAAGGAGGCAGCCACTGCCATATTAAGTACAGCCCTGTTTTTGTTATTCTGCCACAAGGCAGAAACATCTTCAAAGCTAGAAATGCAAGGGTAACTAAAACACTCTGAAATGAAATTCCACACTTATTTTGCAACCACACATTCAAATAGTAAATGATGCATCGTTTCTTTTTCACAGCAGAAAAGGCAGGATACATCTTCCACATGTCTCCTCTTAGCTAAGTTATCCCGGGTAAGAATTTTGTTATGAACACATAACCACAAAAATACATGAATTTTCTGCGGACATGTTACTTTCCACAGCTTATCTCCCACAGAAGAAACCACACCTCCAAAGTTAATTTGTTTGTAAAAAGATTTAACAGAGAAAACCCCATTTGTCTCCAGAGTCCAAATAGGAATATCACAATCATCTCTCAATTGAGCTGAACTAACCAACTCAGTCAGACGGTTCCAACTGTTAATCTTCATCATCAACGCATCTCCTAAAAGTCAGTTTCAGAGTGACACCATCCCAGACCTGGGCTACTGAGCACTCGCTTTGATTACATATACTAAACAAGTCCCAAAATTGGGGTTTCAGGGAATAATCCCCAACCAGAAGCTGATATTCTCTCCATTTCCTAATTTCCATTTGTAAAAGGTTTTGGCTACATCAAACGCCCAAGTGGCACTCTTCCAAAAGGTAGAGCCGACTCCATCCTTAGACCAAAAGATATTAGGTTTATTAGTATCATATTTATAGGAAATAATCTTCTTCCACTCACTGTTTCTACCATCAAAACATCTCTTCGCCCAGTTGGCCAGAAGAGCCATGTTAAAATCTCTAATGTTAGGAACACCCGGACCCCCAAACTCTTTCTTTTTAGTAATCATACCTGTTGGGGATATAACTACTGAGTATAAACCGCCCAGGAGGGGCCGGTTCACGCTCAACCATACTGAAGGCCATGAAGACAAAGAAGATGGCGCTTTACTGATAAAGCTTAGAGGCCCAGAGCCCAAAGGCGGATTAGGGCCCATAGTGGTAAACCGTCATAGTTGTATAACTTGTATTGTAAGTTAGGAAGGGAGAGACCGAGCCGGACAGTTGTATGAGCCGGCCTCGAGACTCTATAAACCGGCCCGACGTCAACCTGTGTATATATAGGGACGACCTGACGGCGGTTCAGGGACAAGAAACAACAACTCGAGAGCCAGGCATAGCTTGTTTGCTCTTCCCTGGCAATCGAGACCCCAATAATTTCATCACAACTAGACGT